TGTTGCTGGTGAGTATTTGCTTCAGGTTGGGGGGTTGTCTGTAAGCGAGGACTGGCCTGCCTCCCAAGGTCTGTGAGAGTGAGGGATCATTTTCCAGGATAGGTTGTAGATCGTGGGTAATGCACTGGAGAGGTTTTAGCTGGGGGCTGTATGTGATGGCCAGTGGTGTTCTGTTATTGTCCTTGTTGGGCCTGTCCTGTAGTAGGTGATTTCTGGGTACCCGTCTTGCTCTGTCAATCTGTTTCCTCACTTCCCCTGGCTCATTACAGAAGCAGCTTTTCCTCTCCTGGAATTGACACCTCCTCATCTATTATTGGGAGTGGACTACATCCACCCTGATTGAATTGGCCCTGTCAACACTGGTTCTCCACTTGCGAAGTCACTCCCTGCTCTCCATGTGTCAGTATATAATGCCTGCATCTGTAACTTTCACTCTATGCATCTGAAGAAGTGAGGTTTTTACCCACGAAAGCTTATGCCCAAATAAACCTGTTAGTCTTTAAGGTGCCACCAGACTCCTTGTTGTTTTAGCATTTATATACTCAGATAATTAAGCCACAGCAACTGTAAATTATACCAGTCCAAATCTCAAGTCAGGGGCTGTCATGATGTTACTATAAGAAGCCAGTGGGGAAACTGGGAACAGGCTGGATAGAATGGTGGGAAAACACAAGTGTGAAGGAAACGTGTATGGGAGAAATGAATTAATTAGCTAGAAAATGTGCTTTTCTGCCCCCTCCAATGGACAGATGCAATGATCTCTTCCCCCAATCTCTTACCCTTCCAGGTCCCTACCGTGAAACCTTGTCAGTATCAAACAGTGCTATCCCCTCTCCACAGATACTGCGTGCACTGCAGCTGCTCAGTGATGTTGTCTGCTCTTTTAGACTGGGCAGCCCACATTACAGTGATCATGTTGCACATTAATACCTTGTAGGAAAACGGTATCATCTCTGACCCCAGGGCCTCGGGGAAGCACGATGTGGATCTTGCAGACTTTGCTATGGAGCCGGGACTGTGGACCGGTAGTCTTATGAGGCCTGATTCTGAATTCAGCGCTAAGAAGATATAAACAGTTTATGGTTAACAGCTGGGCAAATCTTAGAGGTTTCAGTTCGCAGCGATTCATACAAATCCCTTTTCCCCTGTTTGCATCAGTTCACATAGGCTTTGCTGACTGTGGGTCATATTGAGTTTGGGAGTGGGATGAGCCCAAAAATACTTCCAGTGAAATTCATCTGGTAACTGTGTGAAGCGAGTGAATTTTATGTGATTTCACCCCTACAACCATGCTGATAACACTTTGCACTTTATAGTATTTCTCATTCATAGATATTAAAGCCCTTCATATAAATGTGTAGCATCATCTCATTTTGCAGAGGGGGAAAGTTAGAGAAGGGTGGTGACTTGCTCAAGGTTGCACAACGAATCGGTAGCAGAGGTGGGACAAGAACCCAGCTCTCCTGACTCTGTGCTGTGATCAGTTCACTAGACCACAGCTTGGTCTCCCATAATCATGAAAAGGTTTGCAAATTTCATTTAGCCTGGTTGGAGTTTGATATGAAACACATGAGCCAAGCAGGAGATTTCAGCCCTCCATGGCATCTTGTGCATGGATTAAGGGTAGAGATGGGCAAATAATAGATTTTTAGGTTCACCGTCAATCCAAAAAAAATCGGGGGGAGGGGAGAAGAGGGAAGACGTTTTGGGTTGAACCGAAATTTGGCAAAACTTCTGTTCTGCTGAAAAGTCAAAAACAAAAACTCATTTGTGGTCAAATGACATTCGGTTTAGATGCGGAGCATTTTAAGACAGTTTTGAGGGTTTTAAAAATAAAATTAAAGGACATTTTTAAACAAAAACTCATTTCAAACCAAAAATGGAAAAGTTTAGAAAATGTTAAAATGAAGTTTCAATTTTGGGGGTATCCCCCCCAAATGAACAATTTGGTGAAATTGACAAAGTTGCAAAATAGTTCGGGGTCTCCAAATCTGCTTTTGTTTGTTTGTTTTGTTTTTGGTCAAAAACAGTTTGCCCAGCTCTAGTGAAGAGTACTCTGTAGTCCTCCGAATAGGATCAGATTAAGGGAACAGGGCATTTTCTCTTGTATATTTCCATGTAAATTGCATTTGGTTTTCTTTTTTAAAGCTGTAAGCTGATTTCAGGGTTAAATATTTGTGGCACTAACTGGTTCCTAGAAAGGAAGCCTTTGGAAGTAAATAAATTAGACATTAACCTATATCGATACACATACACACAGAGAGGCAATAGACATCTAGCATTGGCCTTACAGAATGCAAATGCTGCCTGGTTTTGATGCTGTAGCTTGGAACCAAGAGGAAGTGAGATGCAGTGTTGTGTTTTGCCTTTCCTGCGTCCTGTAGCAAATATCCTGGCAGGAATCTGCGGAACACGATGAAAGTGTTTTCCTGCTGAATATGCCCAGGAAGAGGCAAGTGTGCTGGGAAAGCAAAAAGTTCAATTAGAGTTTTTTTACATATCAGGAAAAAATATCCCTCAGAGCGTGGGAATCGGGATTCTGCAGAAACTGGGAATTCTGCCGGCTTCCTCCATAGCTCCACAGCTTTTGCAGTTTGGGAAGGTATGAGACGGGATCATCATGGGTGTTGCAGGCAGGTCCAGCAGGTGGGAAGTTGGGGGTGCACATCTTCCTTATGAAAAGGCGGGCTTGCAGGAAGGTTTGACAGGAGCTGGGAGGGTTGGATCCCTTGTCTGATTCCTTGGGTGGAAGCCCCTATGGAAGGGGGAAAGGATGAAGATGACTGGATGCTTTGAAAGACAATTGCTCCTTTCCTTTGTTGGATAACAGCTGATGGACTCTTTTCACTGGCTTGCTCCCTTGCAAACCCCACAAGGCTGATCAAGGAAATTTGCATTCCAGAGGCAGCAGGTAAATGGATGACCTGGGGCAGGTGAGAGGAGCAGGAAATGATTAAGCTCTGGTCACAAAGAGCCTTTCCCGCAAATCCCCTCTTTGTGGGGAGAAGAATGTTTGTGTCATTTCTAGTGGCCCAGTTACAGCAGGAAGTAAGGAGCCGAGGTACCAGCACAATAAGGGCATTGGGATATACTCCCCCGCTGAGGCTGCCAGACCCCAACCTACCCCACCAATATCCATTCGTCCCTAACCTGTAGACATAAGAGGAGAGTTCAGTCTCCAGGGCCCATTTGGACTGTGGTCTCTCTGTCAGTCAGTGGGTTTGTGTGATGCGGACACGCACGCTCTAAGAATTGGGTTGAGACCCACCAAACTCGGGTCAGAGATGAGCTCTCGTGAAAGCTTTCACTCCTGGCTAACGGCAGCTGCATCTGGTGTCTTATAGGAGAACAGTAACGGCTTATGAGCCTGTCTCCTGAGCCATCTAGTCCCCGGGAATTCAGATACCGCCGAGCCCAGGCCATGGTGAGGATGCTGGCGCTGCTCGAGGGGCCCGAGCTGCTGGACAGGAAGCAGCGTGGCGAGCGGGTGCTGAACAGCCCTGACTCCGACCTGCCGCCCAGCCACTGGCTGCTGGCCCCGAGCCTGCTGTGGCCCCCGGGCTGCCCAATCTGGACACCACGGGCCAGGCACTGCCAGTGAGTAGAGCCCTACGTGGTTGTTTTTGCATCTGATCCACTATCCGCAAAAATGGTCTGCAGATATGCAGAGCTCTACCCATTGTGCTAGGAGCTGTACATACACAGAGAGACGCAGCCCCTGCCTCAAAAAGCTCACGGTCTAAACAGACAAGAGAGACAATCAGTGGGGCAAGAAACAGAGGGATAGGAAGATGAAGGGACTTGCCCAAGGTCACTGAGCAAGCGGTAGTAGAACCAGGAACAGAAAGCTGCTCTCCCAGTTCCCAATTAAGGGTTCTTTTCACTAGACCGCACTACTGAAAGGGAAGGGGCATGAACGTAGTGAAACTAACCAGCTGTTCAGAAGGGGAAGGACTATTCATGATCGCTGCTCCAGTTACAACAGGCCTGGAGCCCCAAGGAGAGTGGGGTGTAATTAATCAGCAGAGCTCCCCAGGCACCAAGTGTTAAATGCCTTATTAGTTTTCACTTTTCAATTATCAGACACCCGATAGCATCTTCATAAGCAGCGGAGTCCTGGAATTAAATCCCCGGCCGCAAGTGTGGAGCTCGGCTTATCTGTGGCATGTGTGCTTGGCATGTGCGTTAGGGAGGGTTTGGATGTTTTTACAGAGGGCTTCATTTCCCAGGCCAATCTCCTCTTGGCCCTCTCTCCCCATCCTCCTCTGAGCTGCGGCAGGAGGATCATCGGGGGGGCGGGGGCAGAGATGGAGGGGTAATGCCGGCTCTTCTAACCATTACCTCCATTTCCCGTCCCACCACTGCTCTTCCAAAAGCAACCCTGCAGCTCTGCAGCCAAGCCAAACAAGGGAGAAACTCCCCCCAGATTAGGAGCTGCCCACTCCGCTGTCTGAACACGGGCCGCAAAGGGGAAACTGGATCCCTTGCTTAAGGCACAGCTAGGACTCCGGGGTTCTGTTCCGAAGTCCGCCACTGACTTGCTCTAGGACACGGAGCTGCAGTACGTAGGGTGTCCCTGGTATCTAAGGAGGGCCTGGTTGTAAGGGGATGAAAAAAGAAGTGTGAAGTTGCTTCCCCTTGGCCTGTCTCTGGTCTTCTGCTGAAGTGGGTTTGTTCAGCCCCTGACAGCCAGGTCCTCTCCAACACTGGTGAATCCACATTAGCCTGTTCTGACTTCTCAAAGCCAGTGGCTGGGCAGCCCCCACATCGGGTGCCCACACACTGGACATCTCTTGCCACCGTTCCTTTGCTGTCTCTCTCCCTCCCTCCCCCCCGCCATTCTCTTTATTGGATTATAAATACCCTCCAGGCATTTTACTCTGGAACAAAACTGCTTCCTGCCGTGGGAGTTGGAAGGCAGCGGATAACACAGCCACAGCGGCGCATGGCCAGAATCCGGGGCGCGCTTGGGATGTCCTTTGGCATCACGCTGGCCAAGTATATGACCCACGCC